TTATTTGTAAAATAGGTGTCCCATAAATATACATCCACTTTCCAAAAAAGTTATTTCCGATTATAGGAAAAATCTACAAAAATTCCAGTAAACTTATACATTGATATTATAGAAAAATAAAAAGAAAGTAGGTCAATATCTTAACCCGAAGCCGAGATCCTGAGACCTCGAAAATCAACGTAAAACAAGGTATTTCAACTTTAAAAAATATTTTCGACCACTTATGGATTACTGTAAATTTTGATTTTGGGCTCTTTTGAAAGCCCTTGAAATTTGCTACAAGTCAGATTCAATCTTATCCTCCAGAAAAATTTTTAATGAGAGAAGCAGGCATTTAAATTCTTGATGCAGAAAAAAGCGCCTAAATGCCCCATAAAATTAGTGTCGGGAAATTAACGACCTACATCTGTCTACCAAATTTTTTCTCAAATACTAGATCAAATTTGTCTTATAGTAAATTTTAAGGGCTTTCGAATGAGCCTAAAATGAGAATTTAAAAACAACCATAAGGGGTCGAAAATATTTTTTAAAGTTGAAATACCTTGTTTTACGTTGATTTTCGAGGTCTCAGGATCTCGGCTTCGGGTTAAGATATTGACCTACTTTCTTTTTATTTTTCTATAATATCAATGTATAAGTTTACTGGAATTTTTGTAGATTTTTCCTATAATCGGAAATAACTTTTTTGGAAAGTGGATGTATATTTATGGGACACCTATTTTACAAATAAATAGTTGTAAGTATTGAGTGCATTATTAGAATTTTTTCAAATTTTAGATATAGTTTCAAAATGTCTTTCTGCATTATGTTTAAAATTTTCATTCAAATCCGTTAACAACTTACGGACTTAAGCCACAAAATATAGGTGGATGTATATTTTTGGGACAGAGTGTATTAGTAAAGTCACTTCCTTAGAATTTTTATGGATTCAAAGAGATTTTTAGCGCCTCTTTGGCGATTTGTCACTTTAACCAATTCTCCCTCTTCTTCAAAAACAGCGCCGGCTCCGGCTATGGTTTCTGCATCTCCAACAGCTCCAATTCCACAGCAACAATCAAAACCTAGCATTACTGGTCAGCAGGAGGCACAGGCAGGACAAGGACAGAGGACACGTAAAGCAAGCAGTACAAGCAATTTTTTGGGTAATTTTTTTTCTAATAACGATAAAGTTAAATAAGGGTTCCGTCCTATTTAAGAGTGTTTGAAAAAAATTTTTCTTTTATATCAAAAAAAAACAAGGATAGGTTTTATAAAAATAAAATTTCAATTCGATTTAGCCTAGTAAGAATATACAAATGTAGATTAGGTAGTCTATTTTGAGAAAAAATTAAAAATATTTTTATATTTTTTCATTTACAAAAATTGATTTATTTGTTATTAATCGATAATTGTATTTTTCTTTACTAAAAAATTTTCATTTACTAATTTATTTTTTGGTTTAATTTTAAATAAAAATTTTATTTTAAACCTAAAAAAATAAAATCATTATTTTTCTCTCTTTTATTTTACAATTTCCATAGCCTCTCTTGCTTCATCTATTTACGGCTCTTCTACCCCATCTGGTGGTACAGGCTCAAGCCACACACAGTCATTTAGCATTCAAGGGGATATTGATGCTACTCAACAACGAAATTCTCCACTTCCATCATTAAGCTCAATTGGCAGTGATGCAACTTTAAATAGGTTTTTTAGAGATTAAATTTAATTTTAAATATTTTTTTAGAAAAATGTCAACAGCTAGTCAAAAAGTACGAACAAGGGAAGACGTTATTTATGAAGGTTTTTATTTTGAAATTAAAGTTTTATCTAAATTTTTAGGTTGGTTATTAAAACGTGGAGAGCACATCAAAAATTGGCGTCAACGTTATTTTGTTAGTTGTTCAAAAATTTTTTAAAAATTATTTTTAATTTATTTAAAGGTTCTTTTCAAAGATGGCTCACTTTTAGGCTACAAAGTAATTTTTAGGTTTAAATCAGCATTTAAAAAAAATTTTTTTAGTCAAAACCAATCGATTCCTATAATGATCCTTTAAATGATTTTACTGTAAAAGATGTTCAGGTTTTAAAAAAAAGTATTTTTTAATCGAATATTTTTTAGTTAATGAAATTAGACCGTCCAAAGCCAAATACAATACTTGTTAGAGGCCTCCAATGGACTACAGTTATTGAAAGAATGTTTTGTGCTGAAACACCCGATCAGCGTGATTGTTGGATAAATGCAATAAAATCGGTGGCAGAAAATTTAAAACGCGAAGAATTACTTCATGGAGGAGTTCAGGACCAAGAAATGATGGTTAAATTATTTAAATTTTTAACGGAATTTAAATATTTTAATAGGATGTCTCTCAATTACCCCAAGCAATGGATCCAACCCAATATCCGTGGACTTATCAACCAACTCCCCCTATGTTTGATCCTCAACAACATCAACAATTTGAGAATGGTTATATGCCTGGATTGCAAGGATTTGGAGGAATTCCGAACCAATTCCATACAACTGTGGCGGCTGCCGGTGCTGCACAGCAAAAACAATTACTACATGAGGCAATGGTCAAAGCACAAGCGGCGGCAAATGCTGCGGCAATGGCTACAAGTTCAGGGGGTAACGTGTGCGCTGAAGCTGTTGCTGCTGCGGAGAAGGCTGCTGCTGAATTGAAAAAACCAGAGGGACAGAAAACGCGAAGCAGAATTGTAATTTTTAATAAATTCTTGGAATTTTTAAAATCATTTTTTACTCTTTTTACAGACATTGGATGACTTTGAGTTCTTAAAAGTCCTTGGAAAGGGAACTTTTGGTAAAGTAATCCTCTGCCGTGAAAAGAGAACAAGTCGTCTTTATGCAATCAAAATTTTGAAGAAGGAAGTTATAATACAAAAAGATGAGGTTTTTCTTTCTCTAATGTTTAAAAATAAATTTAAAAAAAATAAAAAGGTTGCCCATACTTTAACTGAAAATCGTGTACTTCAACGTTGTAAACATCCATTCCTTACTGAATTAACCTATTCCTTCCAAACAAGTGACAGACTTTGTTTTGTTATGGAATTTGCAATTGGTGGAGATTTATATTATCATTTAAATAGACAAGTTGGAAAATATAAGGAAGGATTTTCTGAAAGTAGAACACGTTTTTATGGAGCAGAAATTGTTTTGGCTTTGGGTTATCTTCATGATAATAATATTGTTTATAGAGATTTAAAGGTTTTTAACGTTATAAATTTTTATTTTTTTAAATTTTTTTAGTTGGAAAATTTATTACTTGACAGAGACGGGCATATTAAAATTGCTGATTTTGGTCTTTGCAAGGTTTTTGAATTTTAAATTTAATTTGAAAAAAAATATTTTTAGGAAGATATTTCATTTAGTGGACGAACTCGAACATTTTGTGGGACTCCAGAATATTTGGCACCCGAAGTTTTGGAAGAAAATGATTATGGACGTTCTGTTGATTGGTGGGGAGTTGGTGTTGTTATGTATGAAATGGTTAGTTTTTTTTATTAAGAAAAGGAAAGATAAATCTGGCAATAAGTTAAGAATGATTTTAGAGTTAGTATTCTGGTGAGAGGGGGGAGGGGGAGTTAATTGTTTTTGATTATTGAACGACATTTTGTCTCAAATTTTAGTATCAAATATCGTTTAGGTTTTTTAATTCTAAACTTTTAAGATGTGTGGACGTTTACCTTTTTATTCAAAAGAGCACGAAAAATTATTTGAAATGTTTGTTTTTAAATTAAAAATATTTTTTAAAAGAATTTCTTTAAAGGATTTTGCAATGTTCATTACGTTTTCCATCACGTCTATCACCGGAAGCTAAAGTTCTCCTTTCTGGTTTATTAGTAAAAGACCCAAATAAAAGATTGGGTGGAGGTCCAGATGATTATCGAGAAATTCAAGCAACGGCTTTTTTCAAACCTATTGACTGGGAAAAACTTTACAGAAAAGAAATTGAGCCGCCATTTAAACCTCAACTTTCTTCTGAATCTGACACTTCTTATTTTGATTCGGTTAATTTCTTTTAAAAATTATTTTTCAAAAAAATCTTTTTTAAAGGAATTTACTCGTGAAGCTGTTCAATTAACCCCTCCAGCAGTCCGTAATGGTCCTTTAGATACTTTAGATGAAATGGATGAAATTCAAAATAATTTTGTTCAATTTTCATTCCATCATGGAGAATTAGGGTCGTCACTTCGTGAAAATAGTGAAATAATGGAAGAATAAAAATTTGAATTTTTTTAATTAAAGAAAGCCCCCAATTGCATATAGTAGTTATTCCATATTTGTAAATAACAAGAATTTCTTTCCAAAATTTGTTTAAAAAATTAGAAATTGTTTGGAAAAACTTTCCAGACATTTATTTTTTTTAATATTTAAAAACTCTTTTTAAATAAAAGAAAATTCATTTTAATTCTTTCTACATATTCCTAAAAATTTTCTTCTTTGACCAAAAAACCTCACCTTTATTTTTAAAAATTGTAAAATATATGTATAACTAACTAAATAAATACATTCTTTTGCTTATCCCGGTTAATTAATTTACTTTTTCTATTTTATATTCTTTTAAATAATTTTTAATAGAATTTTCTCTTTTATAAAAATTTGTTTATTAATTTTTCCTTTTCATTTTTTTATATTTTTAGTAAAAAAGAAATAAATGATTTTTTAATAAAGATGAGTTAGGTAATTGTTAATTAGTTTTTTTTAAAAAAATTTTTTATAAAAAAATAAGTAAAACAAACAATCGGACCTACAATTTGGACCTATTCCAAATCAAAACTTCCATTTCGTTAAATATTAATTAACAAATTAAAATTTAATTTCCGTTTAATATTTTTTGTGTTTGTTTAGATGACTACATAGACTAACGATATATTAATTAATTCTATATAACTTTAAACTTAAAATTAATTCAGTCAAAAAAATTGTTTAAATAAAATTTATTGGTCGCGCACTTTAATTTTTCTTCTCAAAATATTACAATTAAAAAAACTTAATTATTTAAATGATGACTGGGTTTTTTACTACAAATTGTTTTGATAATGAAAGTGATCCTAATTTTATTTTACATGAACAAGTTGAGGATGTTTTGTTTAATATTTAAATTTAATTTTCCTTCTCAAAACTTCTTTAATGACCCCTCCACCTTCTAAAAGCTTAAAAAATATTTTTTAATTTTTCTTTTTTTTTGAAGGAGGAAAGAAATTGGATTTATATTCACTTTCAAGGATATCCATATTTAATTATTGGATTACCTGGTTTATTCCTTACTTCACTACTTTCAATAGCTTTAAGTCTTTCAATTTTCCAAAAACAAAATCGACTTAGAAAATGTCGACGTTTCGGAAATAAATTTTATATTTTGTTATTAAATAGAACAATTGGGGATTTATTTGCCTGTTTAACATCTTTAATGATTTCAATATATACAATAATGTTTCCAGGAAATATTAAGTATTATAAAATTTGTAAATTAAAATAAAATTTAAAAAAAAAGTACAAAAATAATGCAATTATTAAATGTTTGTTTAATTGGCTGTTTTTGGTCAACAATGATTACTTATGTTTCTATTTCTCTTTTAAAACTTTTTGGAGTTGCCTATCCACTTAAATATCGTCAAAAAGTTTCAAGAAAAACTTGTATTAGAATTGTTCAAATAAAGTTTAATTTAATTTGTTTAAAAATTAAAATTAAATTTTTAGTTGGGTAATTATTTTGTTAATGATTTTATTGTCTTATTTAATTTATTTAATTGTTTATATTCCTTCTTTGAGTAAATGGACAGGTTGTAGAGCTGAGACTTGCCTTCAATTTTTTGTTTATCAACCAAGAAATTTTCTTATTTCAAATACTTATTTATTTACAATTAGTTGTACTTTAATTGCTGGTAAATTAAAATAAATAAAAAGAGAGGAGGGAATAATTAAATTAGGGAGGGGGGGGGGTAATTAAATAAATATTTAATTTAAAAATAAATTTGAATAATTTTACTATTAAAGTTATATTTATTCATCATCAAAATATTAAAGTTGAATTAATTTCAACAACAAAAACAATTTCTTTTAAAAATTCAAAAACTTCTACAAATGAAAATATTTCAAATAAATGGAATCAACTTACTTTAAATATTAAAAATAAACAAAGGTGTTTTTATTAAAAAAAAATATTTATTTATTTTTAAAGTGCTCGCCGTTTACCTTTAGCTCCTTTAATTTCTGGACTTTTTACTTTTACAATTTTTCATGCTCCATATGCTTTATTTGCAATATATTTAACACCAATATTTACTGATTTATGTTTTTATTTAATTAATTATCGACTTGTCCAACGTTATTTGGGTATAGTTAGATGTTGTGTTTTGTTAAGAATTTGTTTGGATGCAATTTTGGCATTTGGAACTGATAAAGAATTAAGTAAAATAATTATTGGAATTGTTAAAGAAGGAGAAGATGAAGAGGAAGGAGGATTTGAAAGTAGTAGTAGAAGTAGAGTAAATACAATTAATAGTTTTGTGGTAAATAAAGAAGAGAATAAATAAAAATAAATTTTAAATATTTTTTTGTTTGAAAATATTTGAAGCTTTTAATAGTTGTTTTGAAAAATAAAATGTTTATTTAATGACATTAAAGAGGACATCGTTTCCACGGTTCCAGTTCCGGAACCCCCGCATCACTGACATCAATAATTTCCGGATTAAAAATTTTAAATTATTTAAAAAGTAGGGGATTTTTTAAAATAATACATACAAAGACAGTTATTCTTTTAGAGCAGTCTTTATCGAAATGATGAAGGCAATTTTTTACGACTTAAAAATCCTTTAAAAATTATAGTATGTATTTACGAAGAAAATTAGACATCTGTTACATGAAACTGTCAATTTAGCTTTTAAATTTCTTTATTTAAAATAAAGGAGCATTTCCAAACAGCCAAATAGCTGCACTCCTTCTTGCCCACGGTGCTAAAATTAAACGATGTTTTAGGCGATTGTTGTCTCTCTTCAAAGGCGGAGGTTTTATAATCTCACGCATTTGTCTTCCCAATTCCAATCTGTTTGGACGGAAATCAAAATTATTATTAAAATCTGTTCCATCAATGGTAAATTCCAAAGAATAAATTAAATGTTGTAAAGAGATTAATAAAAATAATAATTTAAAAGTCATTTTATTTATTTAGAAGAGAAAGAAAAAATTTATAAATTTTTAGTAAAAACTTTTATGTATTCAAAACATTCCAAAAATAATTTTTTAAAATTTAAAAATAACTAATAAAATATAAAAGTTCAACAAGTAAACGCCCAACTTACTTAGTTTTTTTGGTTTTAAGAATGTAAAAATATTTTTGAAATGTTATTTTATGTAGTTATACCCTAATTTTAAAAGTAGTAATTTAGTAAAAATGTTTGTTGGTGGTCATTAACATAATTAATTCTTTAAAAAACAAAATATAAAAAATAATAAATTCAAATTTTTATTAGTATTTCGCCCAAATATTTTTGTTTGTTTGTGGGATTTATGAAGAATATCTGTTAAGTAAAAAATGAAAAATAAAAGATTCGACAAAATATTTATTAAAAATTATTTAAATATTTACGTTAAACGATCAAAAAAATTTTTTTAGTAAAGAAAAACACAAAAAAATAACTTTTTGTCGAAACTTTTAAAGAATAAAACTATTTCGTGTGATTATGAAAGAAAAATCAAAGCACATTTTTAATTAAATAAGAGGTTCTAAAACAAAGAAATATCGCATCTCTGCGATTTAAAACTTATCATTACTCGGTTTATTAGTTAAAATCAAGGTATTGCAAATACTATATTAAATATAACAGAAGTAATGGAAACAGATTTCGCTAAAAAATTTAGAAAAAAACTTCTGTTATGTTTAATTATTTATAAGCACAGAATAAAATGTTATTATTATAATAATGGCTGTTCTTAGTTTATAGTTAAAAATACAACGTTAAATATTGTTGGGATCACAAAATGGGCATTTTTATTTGATGCGCAGGTATGTGAATGTATTAAATATTAACGGCACAGGGTTTAATAAATGGTATAAACTTTTATGCCTTAAATAAACAATAAATCTAAATAAATAAAAAAAATTTTAATTAAAGAATTTTAGGCATAAAATCATCAAAAAATAATAAAGTTTGAAAGAAAAAAATTAACTCATAAGCGTAACTAGGAGAACAAACTGATACGTAAAATTTAATTCTAGTATCCACAAAGCAAAATTTTTTTATTATTTCCTTCTAACTTCCATGTTCACAGAATAAATTCAAGTTATAGATACTAATCAAAGATAATCTTTAAGGGTTTTTACGAATTTATTTTATAGCCCAGATTCTAAATACGCTTACAAATTAAGTTGAATATTTTAAATTAAGCGAGTCAAAAAGAAAGAAAATCTCACTAGGCAAAGAATGGATTTAAAAACAGGTTAAGAATGCACTATTTAAAATAACTTTGGCATTGAAAAGAAGTGTTGGTGATATAAGAGAAATATTGAAATTTAAAGAATCGTTTTACCAAAATAAAAAAAAATAAAAATCTAAAAAAGGCGCCTAAATATTTGTGGTTATAAACTTGTAAATCTAAACTCATTATTAAAGTTAAAACCAAAAATTAAACCAAAAGCCATTTTTACAAGTTAAAACCGACAAATTCAAAAAACTTTAAAAACTTAATTTACCTTTAGAAATACTTGAAATCAAAGTGCTTTGCTGTTGCATCTTTTTTCGCTTTCTTGTCCTTCTAGTTGCTTAATTAGTGTTTGAATTGCATTGAATGCAGCATCAACATGGGCATATACTTCTGTTGGGCCACTACCGTGACAAACCTGAAAATATTTAAATTGACTTTCTTAACTATTTGGAAATTAAAAAATACATACAATAGGTTTAGCCAATCCAACAGTTAAAAGAGTAAAGCATTGCTCTTCATCAGCAGCGTCCTTCGACTGAAGAAGAAATACATTATAAAACAATATGTTAACAAACTAACCCTAGGAAAATCAGAGTAGGAGACAGTAAATTTAAAATGTTTGGATAAATGATTGAGAAAATTCTTTGCCCCAATCAATCCAAATTTATATTCTTTCTTAGCTTCAATTTGATCAGTGTCTTCACCATTCCAATGAGAAATAGAAAGGGATGCTGAAGTAGGCGATAATATTTGAGTTTGTGCCTCGATTGTTTTTATTGATGTAATAAAAGGCGGAGGAACTAAAAAAATAAATTATATATTTTCAAGAAATAATACCATTTGGGAATCCAATATCAAAACCAGCATTCAATAATGGAGGCGCATACTTTGAAGGAAGAGCTGCTGGTAAAGAAGCTGGCATAATTTCCGATTGATTCTGCAAATTTAATGTAAATTAAACAGTCAAATTTAAGACTATTACTGTTTGAAACATATGTCGTTTTTCATCGCCTATAATCTCAGGAGCTATTAGAGGCACACAAAACGAATCCGTTGGCTTAGGAATTTCTCCAACAATTTCCTCTATGCCTTCCAAACCGGCCCAAATAGAATCCTTATCCAATTTTACAAGACCACGTTTCTCATTGACAGAATTGGGCCATTGGAGGAATTGTGTCGCAATTTTTACCAATTCTTGATTCTCGGCTTGACTAAGTGCTCGTTGAGAATCACGGTTTCGTCGTCGAAGGCGGCTACCAAGCTCAGACTTGAGTGGAGCAATTGATGCGGCTGGATAAGTGGAATCTTCTGGCGGAGGGCATGCACTAACGTGTTCATTGAAAGTAACACGGCGACGAGTAGATGGAAGCGGAGGTGAATAATTCGTAGCTCTAAAATGAAATAATAAATTTAGTTATGTTGATGAGAATATTACTCTTTAATTGGAGATAGATTATTCTTTTCTTCAATTACAGGAGATAAGTTGACACCATTTTCCACTTGTATTTGTTGAGGCAATTCAGTATTGTTCAATGCCTCCTCAACTGCAGCAAATGTTTCAAATGAATTTATCTTTTCATCCCAATTATTCGTTAGAAATGAATTGTAGTTTTGATCCATAATAGATTTGTTTTTCAAATCACTATTGACTTGCTTCTTAAGAAGACTCTTACCAGGTTGAGGCATAGACTTAATTTAAATTGATAGAATAATTTCAGACAAATCTAATCTCACTTTAACATAACCAATACGACCTAACATCGCTTCGGCAGCAGCTCTTTTGGCTAATTTTTTATTTGGTCCAGTACCCTGCTCGTCAAACCCCATGCATTGCACGGACACAGTAAATTCCTTGTGTCTATTTTGACCTTGTTCCGAGACAAAATGAAAAATAGGTTCCCGTTCTTGACGAATTTGCATAACTAATAATATAATTTTTTATGAATAATTAAATGAAATACAAACAACCTTGTATCAGTCTAGATATTGGATTAATGTGATGGCCATATTCAGGATCCATTTTCTTAATAAAAAGATAATTATAACATTAAAGAATATGAACCAAACCTTATCTTTAATAATTGTTTTTCGCTTTGTAAACTCCTTTGCATTTCCACCTCCTAAAATCGAATCACGTTTATGACTCTCTACAGTTCCTACATGACGTATAATCTGACTGGCCAGAAAAATTGGGTCTTTGTCAAGAAGAGGTTGAACTTTCTCAAGTAAATGATAACAAGCTGCCTGTTTGGCTGCTTTCTTACTTGGACCTTTACCTTCTGATGAATATTCTTTGGATATAGTAGAATCTGCTGACGTATTGGTTATTGTAGAAGGTGAAATAAGACGACAACAAAGAGTATAAACACGATTATGCGGCTCACCCGTTTCAGCGAGTACTTCAAATTCAACATTCTATAAAAATAAAGCAGAATTTTACTTTAAAGTAAATTTTTGCTTGTTTAAGCAATCAAGATGATATGTGTTTTAAATATTCTCAAATTTACCATTATCCAAAGAGAAAACTTACCATTCGAAGACGAAGTGCACACTCATGAATTTGCGAAACTACTGATTTTATCTTCCGCCGCGAACGAAAAGGGCGTTGTTCTGACATTTGTGCACTCTGAGGTAATTTATTATCATCTGCCTTTAACTTATTTAATTGTTCATTATCTGGCATTTTATCATCTGTTTGTTGTTCTTCATCGTCTTTATAATTAAAAAAGAATTAATTTGTGTCAAAAATAAAATCCAATTAATAGACAGATGGAAGTGAAAACTCACAATATTCATTTAATAAAACATTCAATGCTGGAGAGAAATTTAAATCAGTACTCTCACTTTCGTCTTCTGCACTGCCAGAAGTTAATGCACGGCCGTTATCAATAGGATTTACTTTAGACAACCCTTCTTTAACATAAGAATTCTCTTCGGTTATTTTTGCTTGTTGCGAATTGAATTTATTTGGGGTTCCATTATTTAATAAAATTTCATCCAAACTGTTGCCAATTTCTTTACTTTTTTTGTAGCAATCCAACACCGGTCTGTAATTTCAATGATCAAATTAATCAAAGTATTAATCGAGATAAAAACCTCAAATGAGACAATGCTTGAACAGCTGCCTTCTGTTTTGCAATATCCAATTTAAATCCAACTCCAAAATGTTGTGAGGAATCTAAACTTAGAGTCACTGTTACTTTGTAAGTAAATCCTTGTTGCTGTTGTTGATAATGAATTGAATTGAGAGCTGTAGGACCAATCGGTAATACTGCTGTTCGATCAAATCCGTTTAGTAAAACCTAGAAAGTAATTTGTGATTAAAAATATATTTAAATTAACCGATTGAGGAAGTGAAAGGAAAGAGGATGGAAGCAATGGAATAGATTGGTAATCAAATGATGGTAAAGAATTAATTGAAGCAATTTGCATTTTTTTAAACAAAACATCAGCTCCGACTGGAGAAGCATTGACCAAAGGCATAACTGAAAGAAGTTAATATATAAAATAAAAATGATAAATAACTCGGCAAATCCAAAATAGAATTCACTGTTTTTGGCACAATTTGTTGTTGAGAAGTTGTACCATTTGTTACGGAACTTGTAAAATTAGAACCATTAAACAAATTTGGTGCTGGAGCAAAACATAAATTACGAGCAAATTGAGAACTAGCTAGATTAAGACTATTTGGTTGCATTGCTCTTAAGATAAAAAAAGTTATTCTTTAAGATTTAGTAAAGTTAAAATTCTGCTATATTTCTTATTTAACATATTTCCAAGGATTAAAAATTATATTTTCCATGTTACAGGATTATAAACAGGGAATTACATCAAAAAATGTAAAAAGAGGTAAAAACAAACGAAATTTGTGCTGATTTATTGCTATTAGAAGTACTACAAAATGGAGGGATCCATGAAAGGTTAGCAGGATTTGGCAAAGACGCTTTAAACGAAGACAACGGATGATGGATTAATTCTTCTTTATAATTTACAATAATTCCAAGTTGGGCAGCTACAGAATTGAGTAACAAAATTGCATTGAATGACTCGTCTAAAAATTAAAAAAATTTTTAAATAACATTAAAAATATTTAAACCTTTACGTGGTTGACGTCTTGGTACTCCCATTCCTCTCATTGGTGGAGGTCGTGGCAAAGTAGAAGAATCCAACGCACATTGAGCTGCGGCTTGTTGAGCTTTTTTAATTGAAGGTCCGCTACCTTCAAACTCTTGACCCGGACAAAGAATAAGCTTTACAGTGAATTTTTTCTTGTGTGCTGGCCCACTTTCATCAAGAAGAACATATCCATGACGAAGCTTAAAAAATTGAAAGTGCAAAATTACAAAAAATTGTGAAGGAAATAAAACCTTGTTATATCTCGCTAACTCAGCCACACGACACATAGGCGTTTTTTCAGAAGAACCTTTACGTTGAGCATAATTGTAGACGTGTTTGCTAACTGTTGGCTCAGTTTGTCCTTTTCCACACCAAATTTGTGGATGATGCTTTCTATGGTTTTTATCTAAATCTAATTGTTCACGAGAGGGAGGAGGAGAACTACGACAAATAAATTTTTCGACTAAAGCTTGAGAAGAATTATGAGGCTGTTGATTTGAACTTCGATTAGATGTAGGCACAAACTAAAAAATAAACAGTAAATTAAATTTATGCTTCTCATTTTTCCATCTTCCTAAAAAAGATAAGGAAAAAGGGCCTGTTCAACATTTTTGAGATTTGCAAGTAGTTAATTGTGTGCTGATTGTGAGTCCAAATATGAGTTGAAATTTTATTTAGTTCGCATCACGGACATTAATTCGAGCTGTCAGTTTAACCATAAAATTTTAATTTCCAACTTAAATTCGACCTGTTCGAATTCATGTCCGGGATTCGAAATAAAATTTGCAATGATATCCGGAATCAGCACATTTAATTACCTCCCTGCAAATCTCAAAAATGTTGAAAGCCCTTCTCCCTCATTTTTTCTAGAGTAAGAAAAAAATGGGAAAAAGGAGACAGACAAACTTAATAAACTAAAGTCATTAAAATTAAAGTAAAGTTATATGTGACACTTTGGGAAGAAACTGACATATGGGTCTTATTCTAATTTACAAAGCAAAACAAACCAAATTTTTCTGAATACTATTATTGTGTTGAAGACGAGGTGCTGCATTTTCTAATAAAGGCGGTTGTTGTTGCTGCTTTCGTTGAAGGCTTATTTGTTGTTTTGGAATGACAAATTGTTGTTGTTGCAAAGTAGGAGGAACTACCGAGTTTAAACAAAAAGATTGCGGCGATTTTTGATGTTGAAAATAGTATTGTTGTTGCTGTTGATTGGGCAAATGAAGAGATCTGATAGAAGTATTAGATACTGGAGTTGTATGCATTCTTAAGGCGAGAATTGCTACTTTATTTGATGACAAGAAGTTATTAATAAAAAATTATGTAAATAGTTAAAGACTTAGGTAAGTTGTTAAAAAATAATTAAATACTCAAATTTGGGACGTGTTTTTAACCCGCAAAAAATTAACACAGCTCCTCAGCCGCACTAATGCGACGGTAATGAAGTTGAAAACAATATCTAATCTAAAAAATGGCAAAAGTTTAGTTTAAATTTCCCGTTTTATTTCTATCAGAATTGCTTGTTATCTTCCCCTGACACAAAAAAGAATCATTTCTATCCTTACAATTAGTCTGACCATTATGAACCTTTTGAGGGATGACATATAAATGTGAATTTTGGAAAAAATATAAACGAGGAACTACAAACTAAACTTTTACTGATAAAATTTTAGAAAAAATTGCAAATAAACAATAAAAATAAAATATTCACAAAGAACAATTGCATACCAATCCAGCAATAATTTGTCATGAAATTGAGCCTCAATACTCAAAGTAATGGATACTCAATTGGGCGAATCTTTGGCAAAATACTAATTTTAATTGAATGCCAAAAGCGTATATTCAAACATACTTCGGTCGGGTTATCGGTTCGGTTTCGGTTAATTAAAGATTTTGTGAACTCGACAATCCTATCAATCTAATTCGGTCTAAAAATTTTTTGAAAAAATTTTCTTGAAATTTTAAAGTTGCTTTTAAAACGAGAGAACTTGAAATAGAGCAGATTTGACATAATTTACAAATGTATGCTAATGTAAGAATTTCTTGTTTGCCTTATTAATAATTTTTTTAGAACATGTCAAATTGGCCTCAATCAACTTCTTCAGAATTTTCGTCTTTAAATTCTTCAATTTCAAGGCCCTATAGAGATTATACTTCAAATTATACCTCAAATTATACTACAAGTCTGCAGCAAAATCATTATAATAATAATTTGCGGTCAGCTTTTCCTAGCCACAGGGATTCTTCTTTGTCTTTTAATTATGAGGAAATTATGTAATTATTTAATTTCTAAATATATTTAAAATTATTAAGTGGTAACCAGGGACGTTCTTTTGGCCCTTCTCTTTTGGAGAGGAGAATGGAAGATCCATCTTCGTACTATGCCAGTCAACCTAGACCGAATGAAAATTTTTCTTCAGGTTATTTGTACTATTTTTTAAAACTTGACATATTTGCACACGTTACTAATAATTTTAATTTAGGTCGGTCATTTACTACTCCAGGAGTTCCAGCTGCAATTGATACATATTATCCAAGAAATATAAATGTAATCTTATTTTTTTAATTTTACTAATTAATTTTTATAGCCGAATCAAAATGTTCGAACAGAAAATTATGAAGAACCAGACCCTATTGCTTCATTATTACAACAAAGACATCACAAAGTTCAAGGAATTCCTTCATTAAAATCTTTGTTTGTGCCTGAATCATCAAAAAATTCAACAATAAATAGAAATTCAAGCTATTCATCACGAGAGGGTTTAAATCTCACTCCACAAATGCATTTGATTAGCACTAGTTCTGAACGGGATCAGAGGAAAGGTTCCAGACTTAAACGAGTTTGTTTTTTATACTAAATTTTATTTTATATATTTTTAGTTGTTGGGTATTCCTATGACAAAAGAATTGTGGTTAGAAACTGCAACTGGACGTTTATCTTTTGATGGTGGACAAATTGTTAATAGACTTGAAGAAAATCGTACATATTATTACAATATTTCAACTCTTCGTGTTTCATTTGAAATGCCATCTCCACTAACTGCTATCATTCGACAACAAACTGAAATTCGAAAAATGCTAGATATGGCGAGTTTTTTTATTCTTTAACAAATAAAAGCTTTTTTAGACAACTCCTTGTACAATTATTGTTACTCGTTGCTATAATCAATTGACCGAAGAAGTATTACGCAATTATTTTGAACAATATGGAGAGGTTGCTTTTGCAAGAGTTTTCTCAATTAAAGCAGTTTGTTGTTTAATTTTTGTTTTTTTTTTAAATATTTGTTATTTTGTGGGGTGGAACAATAAATCCAAAATCAAATATAAAACGTAAACGAAAATTGGCTTATTTACGAATGGAATCTATTCAGGTATTTTTAGATTAATTTTTTTTATTAATATTTAATTTTTAGGTTCAAAAAAAGCTTTTGGAGCAAATGTCTTTTTCGATTGATGGACATATTGTAATTAAATAAAAATAATTTATAGAGATCTCCAAGCACGTTTTGGGTGACATTTTTTCGGAAATTATTTTGCGGGCGATCCATGCATTCAGGCCCGTAGCCAGGGGGGGGGGTGAGGGGGGGGGGAATTCCCCCCCCCCCCCGAAATGGGAAAAAGGAAAAAATTTGGGGAAGGGCTGGGGGCAAAAAAAGTAAATTTTTTTGGCCTACGGCCTCTGAAATTTAAAAAATTTTCGCCTGCGGCGCTGAAAATCAAATTTTTGGCGCCTGCGGCGCCGAAAAAGTGAATTTTTTTTGGCCTACTGCCTTCTAAAATTCTCAAAATTTTCGCCTGCGGCGCTGAAAATAAAAATTTTTGGCGCCTTCGGCGCCAAAAATTTGGCGCAGAAAAATTTTCCCCCCTTGGCCCCCCCCCCCCCCCGAAAAAAATCCTGGCTACGGGCCTGCATGCATTTCAGTCATTTTTATATAAAGGGAAAAAGATAATTTAGTACAAGAAAAATAATATATAAAAAATCATGTTCGCTAAAATGAACTTGGGGAGATATTTGGAGATTTACTAAAAAATACTTTTTTAGATTGAACTTCGAGTTCCATGTAATCGTATTTTTATTTCCCGTGTTCCTGACGAGACACGCCCAAGTGAATTAGTACAATTTGTTGAAACCGAAATCAAAAAATTTGAACCGAGAGGATATTGTGTTGATGGTAAATAAATTTAAAAAAATATTTTTTTTAATGTTTTATCTTTTCCAGCTTATTTTCCACATCCATTTTGTCAATTTGCCTTTTGCACTGTTGGTGGCGCTAAAGTTTCTGCTAGGCTTGCTATGTTAGTTTATTTTTCAAAAAATTTTAATAATCTTTATTTTAGTAAAGCAGACTTCTTTTTCAAAGGTTCTTCAGTAGGTATCAGTACTTGTTGTGATGGTTCTGAATGTAATAATTTTTTAATTAAAAATTAATTTTAAATATTTTAGTGGATGCTGATCGTTTATTGGAGCAAAAAATTAAAGATTTGGTTGACCAAAATGATTATGCACGTATTCGTTCTCTTCAAAGTATTTCTACCGAAGTTAAATCAATGATTCAAATTTTGGCAAAAATGAGAAAATGTAAGAAGAATTTTTTAATTTTTAAAATATTTTTTAAGTTTCAAATGAAATGTCTTTGCTTATGGTAATTAATTCAGAATTTTTAAAATCTTCAGAAGAAAAATTGAGGAATTATTTATATGTTCAGGTTTTTTTGTTAATTTTTTTAATTTTAATTTTTTAAGGACAATGTTTTTGAAATGTGCAAAAAAGTGGCATTGGAAACAAATAAAGAAAATGGTAATTAATTTGTGTAATTAATTTTATAAATTGTTTTTAGATCAGTCAACAAACAGGAAAAGAATTAGACTTGAAAATGATCGGGAGAAAGAAAGGACAGAAGAATTAAGCGATTTAAGTATTGTTGAGGAGGATATAGGTATGGAAATATTTTTTAATTTAAAAAATAAAAAGAAAGGTTAATTCAGACCTGCTCACGGATACGGATAATATCCGGATACCCGCGGATATCCGCGGATACGGATGGATATGGATAGTGTTTTTAAAAAAATTAGACGGATACGGATGGATACGGATATGATGCTCCAAATCCGCGGATATCCATCTCAAAATTCTAGCCTGCGGTGTAAAGAAATTGAATTTTTTTCGCTTTCGGCCTTTCAAAATTTTTAAAATTTTTTTTCGAACCTCCGATTTTCGAACCTCCGATGTTCATAAGCAAGGTTAGTTCTGCTGCATCCAGTTATTACCTCATTATCTAACCATTACTCGAATTTAAATAACTTTGACCATTTTGAAAATTCTAGCGAGGCTGACCATTTTGAGAAAAAACGGATATATCCGCGGATATCCGCGGATGGATATGCCTAAAAAGTTGGACGGATACAAAAGGATACGGATATGTACCTCACGGATATATCCGGATACGGATAGCAAAATCCGTATCCATGAGCAGGTCTGGGTTAATTTACTCAAATAGGGGAGAGGCGGAATTTTAAAAGTACCAAAAAAGATTTAAAAAGATTTTGAACTTTTTCTTGAAATAAAATCAATTTGAAAATTAAACAGGAAAAAAACTCAAAAATTAAATTGTTTTTTAGAATTGGATAATGAAGAGCGCGATGAGGATAGTTTAAATTTGCAAAACAATTTAATGTAAATTTTATATCACATTTTCTAGATATTTTCGCAAATTATTTTTATTTTTTTTTAATTTTTAAATAAAATAAAATAATTTTTTTAAAAATTAGACTAATCCTTTGTTTAAAAACTAGTTCTTTATCTAAAAGCAGAAATTTTGGAATGGACTACTATATCAACAAGAAAACTACCAAAAACATCAAGTAGAAAGTCAAACAACAAGATTTATATAACTACAATATGAACACAACAACAACAATATTATCACATTACTATATATTTATATATTTATCACTACTTTTGTGTTCATCATCTTCCCTGTTTACAATTCCTACTATCCTTGCATTAGAGTTGTGTTTCATTCCTATGCGCCCAAACTGCGAACCGAACGAGTTGATTTGATATTTACAGACTGGCTCCTCACTGATACATTTCCCGATCCCAAGCTAGTTCCGCTTTTGGTTGCAGTAACGTTTGGAATTGGAGCACGGCTAGGAGGAGGAGGTGGTGGATTCGATTTACTCATACAACAACAAATGCGAACAACATGCCAGAACAGAATTCTGAAAAAAAAGAAAAATTTTCTTTAATATTTTATATTTATCCTCACATTAGAAGAGCAACTACAGCTCCACCCAACGAACTATCGAAGAGACTACCATCATCAGCACAAGTTTCCTAAAAAAATATTTTGGCATTAAATCATTGCAAAAATAAAATTAAGTTTTACCAATGGATCTGTCGCCGTTGTTGGACCACCGTTGTCGATCTTCGGAGTTGCTGTCATTGAGAAATTCGACAGTTCTCCCGTTCCATTAGAAAGAGCAAAATGGTTCATGAGATATGCCAGACCCGGATGGAGTTTAGCCGCAGCAAGGAATGCATGACCATCAACATCTGCCAAAACCAAGTCGGATGACAATGGGAGCAAAATGAAGAATGCAGACAGCTTTAGAGACGTTATGGAGAAAAACATTTTTGTTTGTTTGTTGTACGCAAGAAAAAGAAGATATATATGTGTGTGTACTTGAATTACTTTTATAGTAAGTATTACATAAAAACAATTTTATTTTTTTAAAAATACTTGAAAAATTTGAATTAACTAATTAATAAAGTATGAGACGTCCAAGATTCTTAGTATTGAAAATGAAATATGTACATATATGTATGTAGTAACAAAACTCGGCAATGGGAAAATCAAAAATTTGCCTATGGGTCCAAAAGAGAATTTGTCATGGGTCATGGAAATTTTCGGTCTTGGAAGTCTCCAGTTTAAATATAAAAAAAGAGTTTTATAATTGTATATCGCTTGTTGAACTAAATAATTCTTCGCCACTTTTAAGAAAATTTTCTTCATTTTTATTTTGTTGAGAAGGTAAAAGACAAGAAGAAGCCCTTCTTGACGGTAAATTATTTTCTTTTTTATTATTAGAAGAGTAAATATAAATTGCTGAAGGTGTTGGAACCAAAAGTTTATTTAAACTTTTTTCTGCAGCAATTCCTAAATTTGCTGCTTGTACTAATTTTTCTTTTGAAAGCCATTTTCGAATTTTTATTGGTATAAGATTGACAAAAGCATTTCTAAGTTGCATATTCAATAAAGCATATAATATTGGATTCCAAACCTTTTTTTAAATAAAAGTATTAGAAAAGTAAGAAAAAATATCTATTAAATACCCCTTTTGACTTTAATTTTATTATAATTTTATTAGTTAGTGAAGGATAAACAAGGAAAAAATTAATTTAAGAATACCGTAGAAGTCATTGCAATAGCATGTGTAATTACTCCATAAAGAAATTCTTGTTCAGCTATAAACTCTGGAAGAAGTCCAAAATCTCTAAGAATATTAAAAACAACAGTCCAAACCCAACTTTTAAAAAAAATTATTTTTAATTTTAAAATTAAAAATATTACCTTAAAATAAAAGCAAAAAACATTAAAATAAACATTCTATTAGTTCTTTGTCTTCTTTGATTAGCTATTTTTTGATGATAAATACCCATCTTTTTACGACGTAATAAAACACTCTTTTAAAAATATTTTTAATTAAAAATTAAATTTTAATTTAAATTTACTTTATTTAATCTAACAGAAATTCCTGTATAACAAAAAGTAATTATACTTAAAGGTATTACAAATTGAACAATTAACAAAATAGTCCCATAAACTTCACGTAAACGTTCATATGGGGACCAATGTTCAAAACAAAATTCTCCACAATAACCCTCCATTTTAACAAGTTTTTGAGTAAAAAGCATTGGCAAACTTAGAATCATTGACAATAAACTTATTAACTTTAAAAAAGATTTTTTCTTTAATTATTTAATTATTTTCTAACCAAAATTGTAAAAAAAGCATGTTTATGCCTCAATTGATTATTTAATGGAAATCGAATAAGTAAAAATCTGTCAACAGAAATTGCAGCTAAAGTAAATGCAGAAAAACAGAGAGAAGTTCCCTTTAAAAATTAATTTAAATTTTTTAAATTTCAAAAAAACTAACAGCAATAAAAGGAACTAAAGAACACAAAATAGGCCCAAAAACCCAAACTTTATAAAAAGCAGTAAATGGAGTAAATGTTGCTGATACAAAACAAACAACTATATCCGAACAAGATAAAGCAAAAATAAATAAATTGGAGACTGTTTGAAGGGATTTTGTTCTGCTAATTGCTAATAAAACACAAACATTTCCTTTAAAAATTAAAAAAAAATTTTTTAAAGAATTTGTAAAGTAATCTAAAAATTGGGGAAAACAAAAATTCAAATAATGAAGAATTAAAAAATAATAAATTATTTGGCCGAACTCTAATAAATTTAAATTTATTTATTTACCTAAAATTCCAATTAAAATAATTAAAATATAAAAACTAGCAAAAAGAGCAGCAACAGGTAAACGAGCTGTTGGATCTCTTCTTAAAGTCCACAAAATTAAATTCATATCAAAACAAGGAGAAATAAATTGTGTGGGGGAAGAGGAATAATTTAAATAATTATTATTTTGATAAAAATTGTTATTTTCTTGTTGCATTTGTTGAATTAAGTAAATTTTCTAAAAAGAAATTCTTTAAATATAAAAATAAAATGTTATAAAAAATTAAAATTAATATATTTTTAAATAAATAATTTTTAAAATTTTGTATTTCTCTTTTTATTATTTAAATTATTTCCGTTATAAAGAATTAATTTTAGTGAATATTTATTTATAACATAATAATATAATCTTTAAAAAGATATTAAAATAAATTTAAAAAGGAATTAAGAAAATATGTAATTTTATTTTAATTAAAAAAATAAAGTTTTGGAAATTTTAAACAAAAAAAAAATAAATTTAGATAAAAATAACAAGAAAACAATCTTTTTAAAAACCAAAAAACAAAAAAGTTATTTGACGTAAATAATTAAAATAAAAGAAATATTTTTTAAAGAAAAAAGGTAATAAGTAATTTAAATATTTAAATAGAAATTAATTATCTAAAAGAAGAATATTTTTTGTTGTCTATAATTGAAAGAAAATAAAAATAAATTATTTAAATGTCATTTAAACAAGAATATATATTTAAATAATTTATTTAAATTAATTTTTTAAATAAAAAGATTAAATAAATAAATATTCAAAAATCTCTATTTTTTTATTTTAGCTATTTAATCTTTAAAAATTAATTAAAAATTTTTGAATTAAAAGGTTAAATGTGAATTTTTATTTAAAAAATCAATAATTTTTTAAAATATTTTTAAAAATTAATTAAATTCTTTTATTTTAATAAATTGTTTTGACAGCTTCCAAAAAAGAGGTAGAGCTTCTAAAACTAAAAAGAAAATTATATTTTTCCGTTTAGTGATTTTACGTCAATTTTTATATATTAATTTAACACTTAAATGATTTTTTAAAAATATTTTTTTAATTTTTTTATTTAAATATAAATATTTTATTTTGTTAATAAACGGTAATTAAATAATTAAATTCTAAAAATTAACACAAAATAAATTATTTAAATTAAAAATTTTTTAAAATATTTTAAAATATTAATAATAATTACATATTTTAAAAAATTAAAAATTTAAAAATATAAATTATTACCTAATTAGTATTTAAAATTTATTAATTATTTTTAAAAATATCAATAATTTTTAGAAAATTTTTAAAAGAAAATATATTTTCAAAATTTTTTAATTTAAATAATTTATTTTTTGTAAATTTTTTTATTTCTAAGTAAATAAATATATTTAAAGTATGGGGAAATGTAAATTAAGTATTTATTTAGTAATAATTAAATATTTAATAAAAAAAGGGATTCTTTACAAGAAAAAAAAGATTTTTTTCTATTAAAGGCTTTTTTGTTTTACAAATATAGAAATAAATAAAAGTTTTGTTTAAAATAAATAAATTTTTGTATTTATTTTTATTGTGTATTTAATGATGTCAATTAATTATTTATTGTTTTTTTGTTAAGAATAAATTAAAAATAAATTTGGAATTAAATTTAAAAATAAAATGAAAATAAATAATTATTTTTAATATTTTTTATTCAATATTTTTGGGGAATTTTCATTAAAATAAATTAGAAAAAATATTTAAAGGAAAACAAACATTAATTTTTGTTTTTCCAAAATTACTTTGAAAAGTAAACAAAAAAAATATAATACAGACAATGAATATATATTTATATATTTATTTATATACATAAATTAAATTCTCGAGGGAAAAAGTCCAAAACAGAAAATATTTTAAAGGAAAAAAGGAAACAATTTTCTTAATGAAGTGATGACGAGAGAGATAATTATATTTACTCTTAAATATGTGCTTTTTAATATAAAAATTAAATTAAATGAATTAAAAATGAATATTTATTTTTAGATTATTTATTTTCAATTATTTTTTAAAAATAATTATTGCGTGTCAAAAAATTATTTTTAAAAACTTTATTGTGCTAAATATTATTGAAAAAAAATAAAAATAATTGTATTGTGGGACAAATTCAAGTTAGACCGAATCTGGTTGCAGCGATTTAAAAAAGAATGTTTTTTAAATAAATATTAGAGAAGTTTAAATGTTTTTATTATTTTTAGGTACAATTTTTTTTAATATAAAGTCTTTATCTCTCCATTAACCGTTTTTACATTTAATATTTATATACATATTAATTATTTTATAAATATATCAGAAAATTGTCTTTCTCTCAAGAGAATTTAATTAAATTAATTGACAAAAATTAAAAATAAAATATATTTTTTTAAATACGGAAATAATTTAAATTAATTTTGTTTAAAAAAATAAACTAAATGGGATTTAAATTTAATATTAAAAAACATTTTCATAAAGAAATTTGGATAGGTATTCCCTATTAAAGATAAATATATTTATTTAAGCTGTATCACATCAGAAATATTCTAAACATTTGTATAACTTGTTTTTTTTTGTATAACTGTAATTTTTTTGTATAACTGTAAAAATATTGTATAACTGTAAAAATAAAATAATTTAAATTAATTTTTTAATAATAAAAACAGGTGTTATTTAAAATAATTTTAAAAAGTGTTAGAAAATAAATTTATATGTATAGGCAAGCAGTCCTAAGAGAAAATAAAGGTGTCCTTCCTTGTTAAATGTTGGGGATTTAAAACAGGTGAAATAAATTATAAAATAGGTATAATGAATATTTGTATTTAAAGACAGAGTCGCCTAAATTTCAACCTTTAAAAGTGTAGTGAGATAGCAAGGTTTCATTGAATAGATTTAAAAATTAAACATTTTCTGTTAATTAAAAAATTGCTTAAAAGGAACAAAACAAACAAAAATCTAAATTCCTAAACCAACGGAAATTGTTGATAGAATATCAAAAGTGGAATTTAAAAATTCACTAAATAATTTAAATTTTCGGCTCTTGTAAAAAAAGGGGGAGGGGAGGCACATGGACACGGATTTTGCTATCCATGTCCGAATATATCCGTGCAACTTTTGAACATATCCATCCGTGGGATGGATATGCTCATATCCATCCGATCTAACAAAAATGTTCGAAATGCTCAAATTTTTAAAATTGTGGTATAAAATGACTTGATCAAATAAAAATCAACAAAATGTTTCATTTATTAAGAGAATCGGCTAAAAGAAGTTCCGATATAACTATTAACATCAGTCAGGAAATAAAATGAAATAAATTAAAATGAGCACAGCAATTGATTTTAATTTGAGAAAAAGGAATTTGAACATTGTTCTAAAGGTCTATAAATGAGATGATCTTGTTTATTATTAAGAAAATATTTATTTACATAAGATGGGATTTTAAATTAGAATAATTATTATTTCTATAATTTTTATTAAAAACATCTTAGTTCCAAAGAAATTAAAAATGCTAGAAACGTTGTGAAAAATGTTTTAACAGTTTTTGTAATTATCTGTTTAATTTATTCAAAAGTTAACCTCATGACAAAAAGCAAACTACGGAATTAAAGATATTTCCATGATTTATTTTCATTGAAGTTGAAATAATAATCTTAAGCTTACTAATGGAAAAATTCATGAGATATTCAAAACAATTACTAAATCTCCAGATAAAATTAGTTTTTATGAATCTCTAGTAGACTGAAGAACAGTTATGTGAGGCATCCCTAATACTATTATTAAAGAAATGAACACAAAAAATACTAACAACAGTTCTTTATCACAAGCAAATATGTACAATACAGCAAAATACATCAAAGGATTACAAAAATAATGTGAACAGAAACATATCTACAATATATTTAGGCACAATTATATCTATACATACAAATATACATTACTCCATTACAATCATCAGCGGCTCCTGACCAACGGCTACACCTTAAGGTTTGAAAATATTTTTAAAAAAGACATGAGACTTCATCCCGAAACTTACCATAAGACTGGATGACGTTTGGATGCTTGAACTTGCGCATTATACGGGCCTCGTTCATGAACTCCTTTATCTGCTCCTTTGTACACTTGGTCAGTGTCGCCTCTTTGATGGCTACTTTCGCCTTCTCAGTTTTGCTGATCCTGAGCTCTCCGCGTCTTACGATGCCAAATGCGCCTGCTCCCAGCCTTGCTCCACTGATAATGTCTGCATGCGCAAGCTCCCATTCCTTTCTCGACATGGGTTTGGTGATGATGACATTACTCCCCTGAAATTAAATTTCGGTAAAATTTTAGTCAGGATGCGCTGTACCGAGCAGACAGGTTGACGGCTTTGCATGTGGCTGTCGACAAAATCCCTCAATGTTTTGTAGCCCTTGTCTGATTTGAAATCGATGGAGAAGCGTCCTTTCTCCTCACGGAAGATATAGTGCTTGACGTTGCCGTAGACGACCGACAGGACGAACGTTCTAGCATCGCCTGCATTCTCTTCACTCTTTCGGAGCAGGAATTCGCCATTCGCCTTGAGCATTGCAACAGTGTCCTCACGCGGAAGCTAAAAAATTAAGCGAACATGAAGCCTATTAAGAAAAAACGAAAATTAAGATTACCAATCCATGGTAGTATGGTAGCGCCCACAGGTCTCGTTCAGACTCCATTGGTAGAGAAGCGGTAGAAGTGTTTACAGAGCAGCGAAGCGGTAGAAGAGCGTTTACAGAGCAGCGAAGCGGTAGAAGAGCGTTTACAGAGCAGCGAAGCCGTAGAAGAGCGTTTACAGAGCAGCGAAGCAGTTCAAGCAAAAGCCTGTGAGTCGTTGTGTTGTGTTATCTCAAGTTCTGCTGACTTCTTTTATATGTATCTCTCGACCTTTTATATGTATCTCTTTATATGTATCTCTCGACCTAAAAAGTCATATAAAAGACATCTAAAATTTCTCAACATAACTCAGTCCGACTCGACAACACTAAAATTGCGCTTCGTCTGCATCACGACTACTGCTGTTTCGGGACGCCGTTGCTGTACCTCGTCAACGTTCGACTTTCCAACGATCTTCTACTCTGCGGGTTGTCTTCTCAATTTGCTCACTGCCAATGGAGTCCGACAAAAACCTTTGGGAGCTCCCATATTACCATGGATTGGTGAGTCCATTTTTGTTTTAAGTAACTAATGTTGATCCGTTTTTCCTTATTTTATTTTTAGCTACCGCGGGAGGACACTGTTGCAATGCTGAAGGCGAATGGCGAGTTCCTGATCCGAAAGAGTGAGGAGAATGCGGGCGATGCAAGAACGTTCGTCCTGTCGGTCGTCTACGGCAACGTCAAGCACTATATCTTCCGTGAGGAGAAAGGACGCTTCTCCATCGACTTCAAATCAGACAAGGGCTACAAATCAATAAGGGATTTCGTCGACAGCCATATGCAAAGCCGCCAACCCGTTTGCCTGGTACATTAGAAATAAAACATAAGCTTAAATGACAAGATATTTTTAGGCCAGCCATGTTATCATCACCAAGGCCATTGGAAGGAAGGAATGGGAGCTGGCACATGCGGACATTGTGAACGGAGCAAAGCTGGGAGCTGGTGCATTCGGCATTGTAAGGCGCGGAGAGCTCAAGATCAGCGGCGGACAGACGGTTAAGGTAGCCATCAAAGAGGCGACACTGACCAAGTGTACAAAGGAGCAGATAAAGGAGTTCATGAACGAGGCCCGTATAATGCGCAAGTTCAAGCATCCAAACGTCATCCAGTCTTATGGTAAGTTTCGGGATGGAGTCTCATGTCTTTTTTAAAAATATTTTCAAACCTTAAGGTGTAGCCGTTGGTCAGGAGCCGCTGATGATTGTAATGGAGCTCGCGACAAATGGTGCACTGAAGGACTATCTGCAGGAGATCCAGAGGAGCCCAAGGAGCAAGCTGTACATGTGTCTTGGAGCCGCTTCTGGTCTCAGCCATGTTCACGAGAACAATGTCGTCCACTGCGACATCGCGGCAAGGAATTGCCTTTACAGCGAACAAAAGGTAGCACAATTCAAAAATTTTTTAATTGCTAATTTTTGTTCTAATTTTTAAGGTCAAAATTGCTGACTTTGGGCTCGCTCGTGAGCTGCTGCCTGGTGACACGGAAATCAAGCTCGACAAGGATCAAAAGCTCCCGATCAAGTGGTTGGCACCGGAGACGATGAGGGATCGGGTCTGCACCAAGAAGTCGGACGTTTGGGCCTTCGGAATCCTCTGCTGGGAGATCTTTGCGAACGGCGGTAATCCCTACCAAAACTTCGGCTCCAATAACGACGTTGCAAGAAGGGTGTGTTTTAGGGGGTTGGAATCTATTAAATTTTTTTAAACATTTAGGTGATAATGGGTGACCGGATGAAGTTCTCCGACGAAGCACCAGCGGAATTCTGTGACTTCATGACGAGGCAGGTTTGGGCCGGAGACGCCGACGACAGAAGTCCGATGCAGCAAGTGCTTCTATGGTTCGACAATAACATCAAGCGCATGACCGACAGTCAAAGGAGCCGCATGGACAACACGAGAGGAGGCAGCTCAAAACCAGCTCGTCCGACGTCAAAGGAGGGAACAACTGCGAAGGAAAAAAGCGGGAGGGAGAAGAATGAAAGCGGGCGAGATAAGAGTCAGAAGGGCAAGAAGGGACACCGGAAGGGATGACGGGATGAGGAAGCTCCTTGTGATATTCGAATATAGTATTGTGATTAAACTCATCCACATTTGTTTGTCATCCCTATATATTTGTATGTATAGATATAATTGTGCCTAAATATATTGTAGATATGTTTCTGTTCACATTATTTTTGTAATCCTTTGATGTATTTTGCTGTATTGTATTTGCTTGTGATAAAGAACTGTTGTTAGTATTTTTTATGTTCGTTTCTTTAATATACCGTATTTCCTCTAAAATAGCACCCTTTCAAATACATAAACTCCCTCAGAGGTCGATCGAAAAATAGCCTCCCTCTCTAAAATAGCCACCCCCCATAAAAATATAATTATTTTTGGAATTTTGTTTTTAATGCATATGTAGCACAGTCCCTATAGTTCAATAAGATTAGAAAGAATTAATATGAATATTGGGGGATTTGGAGTGATTAAAGTGAATATCAGAGGACAGTTGTGTCAGAGGACAGCCTTTAGAAGTGCTCTTAAAATGCAGGCAACCGAAAATTTCCCAACAGCGTGGGGCAATACTTTTGACAGCGAGTGTAATTTCCATAACCTTTTAAATAAAATTTCGAAATTAAAAATTAATTTTTGTACTTTATCAAATCCTTGTCCATTTTGTGAAGAAACAGCAAACCAATTTAAATTTTGGTACCCTCACCGACTCCGCAAACCCCGGTCGGAGTCCGGTCCGGTACCAGTCACACTACGTATAATATGTAGAGATAGGAATTTTAAAAAAACCGGGAAAAGGGACCCGAAAACCGGGAAACCGTTCCGATCTCTAATAATACGTAGAATTTACACGAAACGCCAAACCGTGTCGCGCCGAATCACTGGCGCCCAAATTGCGCGCCCAAACGTGATGTATTCAAGTTACGAAATTTTTTATTAAGGTTTTTTCTAGTTTTTGTTTTTTTTTAATTTACCGTGTTTTTAGTCTTTTACGCTTTAGTTTCTTACAATCTTCTTACAACATATTCTTTTAGATATTTTTATCTGTTAAAATTTGTTTTTTTAATTGCAGCGACACTTAATTTTAATTTTTATTTTGATGTGCACACAGGATCAGCAGGTTTTTATTGCATATATTTTTCATTAAACTTTTTTAACAATTAAAAAATTTGGTAAAAGGCGAAATTTAATGCTAAACATAAAGAGGGTAAACCCATTAAATAGCATTCAAGTTTTTTGTGTTAATCATTTTTAAAGCGTCTCCCGATGATGAGTTTATTTTGAATTTATAAAAGTGTTTTATTTATATTTTAAAAAATTTTCCATATTGCCAGAAGAATAGCAGAAAATCAGCATTTATGCATCATTCATTGGATGATATCACTAGGGCTTTATTTGCAAATCTCAGAGGGGGCGTAAATGAAGTAAGAATAATATTATGTTAAATCAGGTTGCGATAAAGTAAGAAAATTAAAATATTTTTTGTTTGAAATTAGGGCGAGACCGTGGTTTTTTTTACTAAAAATTGATTAATTTTTAAAATTATTTTTAGGAGGATGAGCTTATGAGTGCCGCGCATACCTGTCCTTTATGTGAATCTCAATTAGTTCCTTGGTTTCTCGGTTATTTTGAAGAATCTGGTCAGCAATATGAGCGTATTTTGTGGACGTGCCCTAAGCAAGAGACTAGAGTTTTTTTTAATTATTTATAAAAAAAATATTTTTTTAATTTTTAGCAATGCTATTTCCCAATGAATATACTTCCTTTGGAGGTTTTTTGGATTCGACGTTCGCTTGAACAAATGGCAAAAGGAATTATTCCTTTGCCGAATCTTCACCTATTGCCAAAGAAATATCACTACCTTTATCCAAAATTGCTTCCAACAGGGAAAAGAAATAACAAGCAAAAACCAGAAATGAGATTAGTTTTATTTATAACACAGGGGGAAAATTTTAATTCTAAATAGATTTTTGTTTTTATAAGTTTTTAAGAATTATTTTTCAATCTTAAGTATATTATTTAATTATTTTATTTTACTAAGGATATAACACCACATTCAACTTCTCATTTGCTAAGAATTTCGAATTCGATTACCAGTGAGACTTCTATTGGAACATTGTCAGTTTTTATATTTTACATGCCTATTTCTAATTAATCTTTAAATATTTAATTTTTTATAGACTCAAGGATCTTCACAAGTCGCAGCAGAAGGCAAGTACTAGTAGCGATGCTTCTTTGGTAGCCCAGGCTCCAATGGATAAGTGTCGAAAACTTGTGGATTTAAATCCTAATACTTCAACAGCTCTGGTTGTTCATTTTTTACCCAAGTATCATCCTTTGCTGTTTGTTCAGAAAACGCACAAACTATTGAGCGATGAGAACTTTGGACTTGACACTCAATATGTTCAGAATAATACTGCTATACAGCATCACAGGTATATTGTAAATGTTCCATTCGCTTCAACACAAACCTCGCAATCGGAAGCCGTAAATCAACAATTAAGGTTTTTATTTATTTTTAAAAATATTCTTTTAATATCATTTGTCGGTCCATCAATTTTATTGGGGAGATAAGTGCAAAATTTAATTTATTTTTCATTTTTTAAATATAATTGTTGTGAACGAGTTTTGTTTTTAATAAATTAATAATTTTTTTAATTAAAAATTTTTAGTCACTCATTGGAGCTTAGACGATTTTGTCAACGAACTGGTGTGATAAATGAAGGTAGCAATACTTGTAATAACAACCAAAACAATGAAACTATTGAAAAAGAGGTGAAACAAAGTGAGACAAGATACCTTTCTTTAATTAAAAATCCGTCACCAGTAAAATTGCCATCTTTAATACCAACACCTTCGAGTGTATTGGTTGAGAAGAATCGAAAACTAAAGAATCAGAGACGATTGGAACGTTTGAATTCTAGGGAAAACGAACGAGCGCGGTCATTGTCGGCGAGATTTGGGATTACCCCGAAAGTAAATTTAAAATAAATTAATTTTTAATTTAAATTATTGTTTTTAGTCAAGTAAATCAAAAAGTGCCGAAAATAAACGTTTCGAACTTCATGAAGGAATTCTTCCACAATGCAGCACTTTGATTCAATCACATCACCCTGTTGATGAAGACTTTGCACTTTTTGATTCTTCTTGTCCAGTTACAACATATTCATCAATTAGCAGCAGTAGCATTGACTGTGCCGAATCTTTAGCTACTAAAAATTCAGACGAGGCTCGAAGACGAAGAGAAGTTCGGAAAGCTGCACGTGCCCAACTACCTAAATCTTTACTTGAAGAACAGCGTCGAAAAGAAGAAGAACGGTTAGTTTCTATTCAAACAGAAGATAATGTACGACGAAAAATGGAACTTTTGTTGGCGACTGCACTTTCACGAAATAAGACAAAATCGGAGACAAAAACAAAAATAACTACTTGTGAACAAAACGTGCCGAAGATTACCGCTATAGAAATGGTTAAAAAAAATTTATTTTTATTTTTTGTAGATTATAATAATTATTCTTTTTATTTTTTAGAGTAATTTTGACAATAATCACATGGAGCTCTCAGGAATTCCGCACGATTTTCATCAAGATCAAATGACTTCAACAAGTACAGTCATATCTTCTTATCGCCAGAAACCGTCATCTGAATTGACACCAATAAACTACGAAAATGAGGGACAGAATGTTGATAAATTTGACGTTTATGATAGGTGAGGGGGGAATGATATTTTTAATTTAAAATTTAATTGTTTAATTTTTAAAGGTGTGGAACAGTTATGGATATTGGTAACGATGATGAATTTGATTTTGGATTTGGATTGGAGAATGAATTCATCAATGGAGGAAGTAATATTGGAGATGGAGATACTTTGATGCATATGAATGATGATACTTCACTTTTAGAAGAATTGAGTAATAGATAAGTTGTTCCCTTTTTTTTAAATATTGTATTTAATTTATTTATGTCGCACCTTTTATTGTATACACAGGTAATATTTCAACAGATCTCTCCAAATAAAATGTTTTTTAAACAATATTTTACATTAGGGCAATATTTATTTTTGTTATTTCATTTCTAGTTTTTTTAACTTTTTGTTTATTTTGTCTTTTTAAATGCAATGAATATTTGAAAAAATTAGTTTTTATAAATATTAATTCACAAATATTTTTAATCATCTGATCTCATTTCTTTTAATCTCCATCCTTTTTCAATTCAACAATAACTAAAGATGTTGCGAGTCCTGGGCTAGCTTTCTCTAACGGAAAGGAATATGCCCCCTCATCTTCTTCGGAAAAGTTTTCGATTATTAAATTGCCTGTTGCCCAATCAAGTTTAGCTTCTCCAATTTGATTTTTCTAAATTTTATTTTTATTACAACTTTAACAGACTATCAGACAAAGTATTAATAGTAGGTATTTTCTAAAAAGACTTACACCGTCTGTTGTCCATCTTTGTTTTCCATCAGATCCACCGCATTTTCCTGCCCATAAATATTGTTCTACATCGTGTTTCTTTGTCTTTCGTTTAACCAAGAGCTTCCCTGCAACAGGAAATTCAAATTTATCTCCTTTCTTTATCAAGGCACGAGCAAGTGCTGCTTCAGAATTCTCAGGAATAAATTGCAAAAGTGAAATAAAGAATATTGGAAAGAAGATAGAAAAGGATAAAAGACTAATCTTCTCCATTAGATTTACTTTAGGTAATTTTTATAGACAGGATGAAGATACTAGAAAAAACAAGTTAATATTAGTCAATTATCGCTATAATGATGCAGATTGAGGACTATGGTCTTCATAAAATGGGTGCGAAAAAACTACGTGTCTCAGCTCCGTAATTTTTTGAATGCGCCAAGCACCAAGCAAGGACGGGAAGATGGTAAAAAGTCATTACGGGATTTTGTTATTTTTCTAAGTTATGTATTCTCTAGGTAATCACCGAAAAACGTAATTTGGAGGAAAATATTGAATAATTGCTTAAATTTGTTATTTGTAACCAAAATAATTTCCCGAGGTATAAAATTACAAAATAGGAAGGAG